TAATATACTGCAACAACATGGGAATAGAACAGCTGTGAGAGAATTTAACGTTAATGAATCAATGTTACTGAATGGAGGAAGCGCAGTTTTTGGCTTTCCCCATATTTCCAAAGTTCTTCATCTCTTTGCTATGACTGTCGCCCGGCATAATTTGCAGATGATAATGGTTTTAGCCGCTGCGATGCTTTCGACCAAAACAGGCGCAGCTTGATGACATCATCAACATGCCCTATCGCGATAGAGCGGTATAGTCAAAATCTCTATCGTTGGCCAAATTTATATGGTTTCTATCGTATATCGTTTATATCGCCCACCCCTAGTAAGGAGAAAAATACAGTGGCACGTGATGACTGACCATTTTACCATGATAAACTTTCTGTGAAATGAATGGTAGGTAGCAATAGCGATAACTTACTTAAGGATTAGGTCATTTGTCATCTGTCACGCTACCATGTAAAACAGATAGCCTCAGAATTTGGACTTAACAAGTACCTTGGAATAGTTTCAGTATGTTTTGAATGACAGGCACCATTGTTGGTAGTAAACAGGAAGACACTGGCTTTCTTAGGAATCCAAAGTTCCAACGAAGAAGTTTTTTTTACGTCCGTGAAATAGCTGGCATATTTGTTTATGTCTATGCAGAGTAGAAAAAACACATTCATGGGCAGAGGGGTAGCCTGATAAGACTAAGAGCCCATGCTGACTCCAGATTTTTGATCTGCTCATCTCTTGGGTCTGCTAACAGGGTCATTTGGATTGGTCCCATAGGTCCTAATCTGTCTCAGCGAGACTCTGTGCACAGTGGAAGTCGTTAGAGACCAAACTTTTGGGGAGAGGCTATTTTAAAGATAAGTGGGTGAGAGAATGTTTGGATTGTATGCAAAACCACACAGAGACACACTTAATGTCAGCCCACAGAAGAGTCAGTAACCACCGAATGGGCTTTACATAGTTTAGTTGTTACTGCTTTTACAGCTGTCTTTCCACTGCATGGTATAGATTTTTTCTAAGATAAAGAAAGATAAAGTTGAACCTTTCTTTCATCATTGTAAAACACCACTATGTTCAAACGTATGTCACAGGTTCAGTGCTATGATCCAGAGGCAGACTCCTGGTTGCTACGTGCCAGCATCCCCATTGCCAAGCGGTGTATCTCAGCAGTATCTCTCAACAATCTGATCTATGTGTGCGGCGGTCTCACGAAGTCCATTTACTGCTACGACCCTGCAGAGGACTACTGGATGCATGTGGCTCAGACCTTCAACAAACAGGTTACTATCAAACACAGACCCTGAGTGCCCGAATCCACAAACTGACTTTAGCCATAAGAATATGAAGAGTTCTATACTTTGACGATGTACCCTTTAATTTCTGTCTTTCTTTAACTGTAGGAGAGCTGTGGCATGTCAGTGTGTAACGGAAAGATCTACATCCTCGGCGGCAGGGGGGAAAACGGCGAAGCCACAGACACCGTCCTGTGTTACGACCCAGCAACAGGCATCATGACGGGAGCATCCTCTATGCCTCGAGCCATCTCCTACCACGGCTGCGTAACCATCCATCGTTACAATGACAAATACTTCAAGTCGTGACCATGAACAGGATCGCACACACAGACACTCTCTCAACATGAGAGCAAACACTAAAGAACTCTCCAAGTACACATACACGTACAAAGACAAAAACTAACCACACCCCGTTTTTTTGTTTTTTTAATAAGAGGCACATTTAATAGTTCTAACCACAGTATCAGTGAGCTAATTTATTTCCTCACAGCATCATGTAGCAAGACTCGTTGCGGTGCTGTGAATCTTTTGTTGTCTTAATAGCCTTTCTGTGGAAATCCTTAGAAGCTGATAACACTAATGGCTTTTCTGTAACCAGAGATAAAGTAGAACCAGATCAGCATGAGAGATGTGCTTTTGTATTGGTAGTTTGATGAAAATCAGTCTTAAACTACACTGTAGATCTCTGAAAACAAAGCAGAACAAAAGCATGGTTGCTTTTTCATTTACCCAAGAGTTTCAATTGAAATATGAGCTTCGAGATTCATTCTTGACCTTGAGATGAGATTAAACTACAAGCTCACTTACTCACCTTTTCACATAGCGTTCTATGAATAGATTGACACGTGTTAAAATATTTGATTTTGAGGTGTGCTCAAAAAAGTCATTAAGTGAAAACAAAGGGTGGTGCTCCCAATTACATTATTGAGTTTTTGCTAGCACTCATTTATCATACCTACAGACCATCAATATAAAAAATGTAACTTCCCAGCACTCTGCTTTCATTGCTGTGCAAAGTATAACCTCAAGATTTAGGTCGCTGATGATTAATGAGAGTTCTGATGAGCAAAAAAACAACACTGAAAATATCCGTCGAGAGCCAACAGTTGTCTCTGGAGAAACAAAAATATATCCAAAAATACTGATCTGAGTGATCAGGTCAGATTACTCACCTCGCCCCCCTTGCACTCATGCAGTTTGTCTCATACAGTAAAGTTATGCCAAGCTCTGGCAAAGAACATAATAACGAACTGTGCTCTGTTTTTTTTTTTTTTTTACCTTTTCTCCAATACTGAAAATGACCTGATAGAAATGTGGTAAGCAGTCAGCCAGCTGCTCTCCCACAGTATCATCTGTCATAACTACGAAGCGCTTTCACCCCTCAACCCAGAGCCGAGTTAAGAGAAGAGGTAAAGAGCAGAAGCTGTGAAAACATTGGACTCTAGCCACTGTTGGCTCTTCCCTTGTGTTTCCTTTTTTTCCCATCTCATCACCACTCACCATTAAGTTCCACTTCCCATATGTGTGTTTCTCTTCCTGTGCTCCAGCTGTGTCATCACCTCACTTTTTACAGTCAGCCATGCTATTGCCTTCTAAGCTGTATTTTTTGCTCCTTTTTAATTATTATTATTTCACTCATTATTGCCTTTTTTTGGTAAGTTATATTTGTCCGTGCCTATGTTTTTATAATTGGATGTTTATTGTATGATAAGTAGTTGTGTCGACGTTAGTCCATCGGTGTACTGGGCTTGTGGGGTGGTTTTGTAGATGTGAGAAGCCTTTTGTGGATCAAACTCATAGACTGCTCTGAATAAATGGTGTGCATGTCTGGTGTGTATGTGTGTGTGCGTGTGTGTGTATGTGCGTGCACATGTCTGTGTGTGTGTAAGGTTATTGTGTGACTTTTACTGCTTGGTCCGGATGCTTTGGGAGCCGCGCAGGTTTATCACAGAGTTGTCGTGCAATGCTGCCACATCTCACCTGTACACTTACATGTAAAGATGTAACTCGGGGTAACCATAGATACCTCCAGGTGTGTATGCGTGTATGTGTGTTGAATGGTCAGCTAAGGTGGCGGGTGCGGCAGTGCTGGCCCTCTCACCGTTGGCGGGTTTAAGAGTCCTGAATGATGAGGATTTTGGATGGTGTGGCTCTTGGTCAGTAAAAGTCACCTTTTAATACAATTGGTGTTGATAGATTGCTGTGAATATACAGTTAACTTTGTTTTCTTTGTTTAACCTATATTTAAATGTATCTTTGTATTCTTGTTTGCATAATATTTTCTCTTGAGAGCCCCGATTGTGCACTTTGACAGAATCCTGTTAAATGTAGAACTTTATGACAATGATTTCCTTTTTTACTGTATCAGTAAATGTTCTTTGCTTTCATGTGACGTATAGAAAAGAGATTGAAAAGGTCCTGTCAGCTCCTCCTGTTGGCCACTGCCTCCTACGCTTTGCTGCGCTGAAAAAACCAGCAAATATTGCTGCAAAGGAGGCAGCGTCGTCATGACAATTTCAGTTGTCAAATTTTAGGGATTTGTGAATTTGTCACTCAGCACCATTACGTAATATCCTTTAAGAACAGCTCTGGTCATGCTTCACCTGTCAGGTATGATAACAAAAATATGTAGGGGGAAGTTGTTGTTTTTTTACATAAACATTCTTCACATTCCTCCAAATGGAGGTCAGGTTAAGGAGCAATACAGGTGAAGCACCTCCTGATTCACCTGCTTGCAGAAGTCAGGAGGAGCGACGGGTTGAGTTGAGGGGCAGGAAAGCGGAAAGGCTGAAGCATGGGAGTGATAAAGCGAGAATCTGAGTGTGTGTGCGTCTGTGATTTCACTGAGTATTTACTCTTAAGTAGGGCACAAACTGTCATGTTGTGCTGATTTATTGATTTTCATTAATGTCTTTCATGTATTATTGACTTTTGATAAGAATATCCATCATTTTGTTTTTTTGTGTGTGTACTGTTTTGTTTTGTTTTAATCTTTTGCTTGTTGTGGTGAGTTGTGGGCTTGTGTATTGCTGAGAACATAAAAAGGACGTGCAGCAGATTACACCCCAAAAAACTGAGGGTTACAACTTGCTCACCAGAGTTAAATGTTAACACAGATAAGAGCCACATTTGAGATCCTGAAGTCAGTCTTGTTGGCAAAGCACCACCTGTGCCTTGCCTTGATATCAAGAGATGTAACCTCTTAAGTGCTGCCCTAGGTGCCTTAACAAAAGATTAACGAGTGAGCAATTACATCAGATAATTGTGATATACACTGCTATTATTGTGTGCATGATGTGTGATACTTTAACAACACTTTTTGCTCTTCGTTTAAAAACAAATCTTTCAATTTTTGTAAACTGCAGTATGTTGAAATGTAATGGTTGAGTTGTTCATGAGAAACATCAATAAAGTTTTTCTTAATGTATCAATGCTTTGCTCTCACTCATTGTTAACAAGTGAAAGTCTACAAGAAAACAACGATGCACCTGTTCAGATGCTCATTCATGCAAATTCCCGCTGTGATAGCCTCAGTGTCCTGCTCTTAGCTGACAGGAGTGGCACCTGGTGCGGTCTTCTGCTGCTGTAGCCCATCTACTTCCAGGTTGGGCGTGTTCATTCAGAGATGCTCTTCTGCACAGGTGTTAATTTGACTTACTGTTACCTTCCCATCATCTTCAAGCTTTATGGCCATTGCCCTCTGACATCGGCAAGGCCTTTTTGCTCAGAGAGCTGCCGCTCACTGGATATTTTTGTTTTTCGGAGCTTTCTCTGTAAACACTGTGTCTGATGGCTGTGTGGGAGAAACTCAGTAGATCAGCAGTTTCTGAACTACTTATTCCTTTCTTGAACTTCAGCGGATCATTCATGGCAAAACAGTGAATTGCTCCCATGTTAGGCTGATCAGATATTTGCGTTACGTAATGAGCAGCTGAACAGGTGTACCTGACAAAGTGGCCACTAAGTAAATTGTCACACATGCTCATTGTGGATTGTCTTCATGTCAGCAATGGATGTAAAACTCCTCAGAGAGAAGATGTCCTGATATTTATGTTCCCTTCTCAAACAAAATGTAAAGTTTTCACTGAAATCAGAAGGCTGAAATGAAAAGCGATTCTTGTGGTCAGTGTGACGCATGCAGTCAATGTGCCCCGAGAAGTTGTGTTTTTTCTCAATCAAGCGATTGTGAGCACATCCGTTTTCACAACAGACCGGCCATAAAAAGAATGGAAACAAAGTGATTTATGTTTTTCATCGAAACCACAACTATTGTCCCACAAATATCCATGAAGATGTCACAAAAGAAGAGATGCGCCATGTGGGTTTTGTTGCAAGTTGTAACAATCTGCTCCACAGAGCTGTGGACACCAAGGGATGAGTCAATCACGATGGTGACGTTTTAATGAGTCATTGTGCTGAACAAGGGGACAGTGTTTAAAAGCAGCCGCACTTTTTAAAATAGGATTGAGCAAGCCATGCTTCATTATCAGGCCCTTTTTATTTAAGTCTCATGTGATTTATATTCTCCATATTATGCTTTGGTTTAATGAAAACCACAAAGAATCCTCTCAGAGATTGTTACCGTCTCGCTATATTTACCCCAAACATTATGGGAAAAATTGAAGACATGCCTTACCCATACATCTGTGTTCTGATGTATGCAAAGAGCTCATCAGGGACATGCATTCTCAGACGGGATAATACTATACAGTCCATTAATCAGCTGTGATAAGATTTTTGGCTCTGGCAGCATGCTGTCACCTAAGTTATCCAGCTGAGTGCCAGCTAACATAAATTACTGAGGATACCAACTCTGTGGTACAGCTGCAGGCCTGATCTGGTTTGAGTAAAATGCTAGGTTTAACTCCACGTACCAACGTGAGCAACACAGACCTACCTGAAAGTGAGACCACATGAAGGGATGAAGGGATACAACAATGAAGCTGGAACCGCTCTCAGCCCACCTGCTCACCCACTGAGCTAAAGTGACACCCATATTAATTGAAAGTTGACTGGAAAATACTGCAACTAGAGGCACATTTACACATTCACATGTACACATCTCAAGGTCTCTCTTGGAAATGAGATTTTTAATCTCAATGAGATTTTTACCTGGATTAATAAAGGACTAATAAAAAAAATTCCAGGTCTCCAAAAAACCCAATTTCAAGATACATTAAAAGCTGAAAGGTGTGTTTTGTAGTGTTAATTAATGTACTTAGAATATGTAAATTGATGATCTGATGGGGGTTAATCTATAAATCATGACACTTCGCTGCCACATAACGTACTTTCATAGGTTAAAGTATCAGCATCGAGTATCATGTTGGTATGGACAATACTAGCGCTGTATTTACTTGGTATCGGATCCACAGAAAATTTAACAGGATGTTGTTTGATCTTCTTCTCTGCTTCATTAAAAGGAAATGTGTACGTGATAGGACAATGCATTGCAAGAGCACAGCAAAGTAATGTTGTATAACCCTGACAAGGTTATCTGTTTAATTGCCTTTATGATCACATGTTTACTGTGGAACTGATGTCTGATGAAGTGTGAAGCTCCGCTAAAGCTAGATTAGATGAACTGATCCCCTTCTTGTCTGGTATTATTTGCCTTCTAATTTGTGGCATGCAGCCTGACAGCAGTTACAAGCTTAAGCATGTTAGACTAATAGTAACCTATGATAATTCAAATATAGCTTGCTCATACAAAGGGTTACTCAACCCTGTAATGTAATACCTCCAAATAGTTCCACTGAATCAGACACTAAAAAACAAAAACAAAAACAAAAACAAACTTCCTGCAATGATAACACTGGAGTAAAATCCCGGTAGAGTTCTTTAGAATAGACCATGATGGCTAGTTGTAATGAGGTTTGACAGGGTGGCATGCATGCCATCTCCACCAACATCCAACATCTTGTCAGAGTAGTTAGTTTACTAAGGGCTTGTAAGACGGGTTACGCTTTTGATCATGACAATAAAACATCCTTTCCAGGGAAGCAGTCTTCTGAAAGGTGACAATACCTATCATTCCACGCCTCGTTTTCAATCCATTTGGTAGAACAGCGGTCCCTTGTGGCTGTTTAGCTAAACTGCAAGGCTAACTATCCACTATTTAGTTAGCTTACTTGTAGAGCTCGAGATTTAGCAATTCCCTAAACACGAGTGTGGTCTGAATATACTAAAAACGCAACGGATATGCTCACGTTGAATTAAACAAACACACGCCTTTCAAAGAAAAGTTGCTCCACATCACAGAGTACTCCAGAAAATTTGCATTTTGTACAGCCTGAACCGGTATGTATGTACAACTGTGTGCTAACGTTAGCTAAATTAGCAAGGTTAGCGGTTGCTAACGTCTGAGTGCTGCTGGCTGTATGGACGATATGTATATATTTATTTATGATAGCGGTGGTGAGACACACTAAAATGCGATGTGCATTCGTGCTAAATGAATCTTAGACAATCGGTCGACGCTTGAAATAGCGTGGTAGGCAGTGGACATCCTGCTAACCCATGTTGGCATACCTGTTTGGCTAATCAGTACTGAGGTTAGCTGTGGTTCATTGCTGTCAGTTATCTATAGCTTTCCTGCTATGCAGCTAATCCTGTGCTAAGTGCAGAGCAAATCATGTACATCAGAGCATATAAGTGATTAGCTACACGTTTTCTAATTATACCCTTCTTTACAGGAAGCCATGTCGGGAATTAAGAGGAAGATAGAGGGCAATGATCCCGACTATGAGGACGTTTCTCTGGTCCAAAACAGTAAAAGAAACAAGGCGGCTGAACATAGTGGTAAGTTCATGCTCTGAACCCTGAGCCAGTACATCTGCTTTGCTTGTTGTGGTCAAAATTAGCTATCAGCTTTGCCCTGGTCTTGGCGATAAGTTCATTCCCTATTCCCTATTTTATCCAGCTCGAGAAGCAACAGTTCAGAAGATTGAAACCATCATCAAGGAGCAATTTTCTTTGGAGATGAAGAACAAAGAGCATGAGATAGATGTGATAAGTCAGGTATCCAGTGATACTTTCTTTTAAATCTATTTTACTCTACTTTACTTGTTACTGCCATTACTGTCCATTGTAACATGGACAATAACTTGCAGGTCTTCTTCATGTTTAAGTGTAATGCACAGCATGCCGGCTAACTGTTCTTTGCTTTGCAGCGTCTTAATGAAGCCAGGAGGATGATGGACAAGCTCAGGGCATGCATAGTAGCTAATTACTATGCCAGTGCTGGACTGACAAAGCTCTCAGAGGTAAATTCCCATTCATTTGCACACAGAGTTGGATGATACAGCCTCAAAATTGTAGTGCAATAGTAGTAGTACACAGTAAGTCAAATGTAGGTACAAAAGTAGCCTAGGTATTGTTTCCCCTGGGAAGTAAAATATAAAATAACACTTTAACTGAACAATTGTTACACTTAACTATGTAAATCTGAAAAATCTTTTCCACCTAGGATGTTGTTTCTTAGGTAGAGCCCCCCCCCCCTTTTGCTCTTCCTGTCATCTGGAGTGCACCTAGAGTGTGAATCAGTGATGCTTGGAGTCTTTTGTTGACATTTAGGTTGCACATCACCAGCTCTTAGTATCGCCTCCTGTGTACCCTGGTTGTACTTTATGGTGTTTATTTGCCTCAAGTGGTGAAACACATTTGTGGCTTCCATCTTCAGCTGGAACAGTTTCCTTGCATATTTTGCAAAATATTGTCTTTTTGTTCAAGGTTGTTGAAGTAGCTCCATTTTTAGGTACTAAATTGGCTCCTGAACATATCCCGACTGGTCTCATTGTTACATGCACTATGGATCATAAACACATGGCATAAAACTTTATAGTGGTGTTATTGCAGACGGTAATAGCCAACTGTCTGCTACTCTATGTGGTGGTACAATATAGAAATATTGACCTAAATTTTCTTCTATGTCCCATAGCATACCCCCAAGAGCGACCCTGCTGTGCTGAACCATCCAGCCATCCGACGCTTCCTGGAGTCTCCTTCCCGTTCTTCTTCCCCTCTCAACCAGGGCTCCGAGACTCCATCGTTGGTCCAATCAGAGTCCGAGTCTCTCTCACAGCAAGGAGATGGTGCTGAGAGGAATGGAGAAGGATCCTGGAGAGAAGACAGCAGCAGGCAGGAGCGCAGACCTGGACGCAACACAGGCAAAGTAAGTTCAGCTGGCAGAAATTGTGGAGTTCTTGACTGTTTGATGATCGGTTACTAAAAGCATTGCCTTTGTTGCCGTAGGACACATTTGGTGTGCCATCGTCTGCAGGCGCAGAGCAGAGAGTGACCTACCACTCTACTGGAGACGATGCATCTAGACTTTATGTGAAGAAGACAATCGTAGTGGGAAATGTATCCAAGTACGTAACCAAATTAAAAAATGTCTGTCCTTTCTTTGGTGACTAATTACATTGT